CTTTTGATTATTACATTAGGGCTGAGATGAGATTTTATGCTCTCTAACAGGGTCAACTGTGCTTTTGAAGTCCTCCTAATGGCCCCAGTGATCACCACCACCACAGACTCTTAGCAGAATCTGTTTCTCCCTGTGTGGCTGGTGATGCTACAATAGTAAGTGTATTAAGGAACTATTTTCTTTCATTCATTCATTCATTCATTCATTCATTCATACATTCACTCATCAGTGCCTGCTACATGCAAGGTATTATTGTTTTACTGGCATGAAGCAATGCAGTTAATTTGTTTCTTGAAGAGAATACAGACATACCCCATTTTATTGTGTTTCACTTTATTTTGCTTCGTAGATACTGTGTTTTTCACAAATTGAAGGTTTGTGACAACCCTACATTGAACTAATCCACTTGCATCATTTTTCCAGCATCTGATCACTTCATGTTTCTTTGTCACCTTTGGGTAATTCTCAATATTTCAAACTTTTTCGCTGTTATTATACTTGTTAATGTGATCTTTTGATGTTATTATTGTAATTGTTTGGGATTGCAGGAGCTGTACCCACATAAAATAATTGGGCAATATTGTCAAGTCTGTGTTCTGATTGTCCCACATACAACTTGTTCCCCATCTCTCTCTTCTTGGGTCTCCCTATCCCCTATGACACAAAAATATTGAAATTAGGCCAATTACTAGCTCTTCATTGGCCTCTAGTTATTCAAGTAAAAGGGAGAGTCTCACATCTTTCACTTTAAATCAAAAGCTAGAAATAATTATACCTAGTGAAGAAGGCAAGTTGAAAGCAAAGACAGACCAAAGAGTACATCTCCTGTGTCCAACAGTTAGTCATGTTATGAATGCAAAGGAAAAGATTTTGAATGAAATGAAAATGCTACTCCTGTAAATATACAAATGATAGGGAAGTAAAACACTCTTATTGCTAATACAGAGAAAGTCTGAGTGGTTTGGATAGAAAATCAACCTAACCACAACTTTGCCTTAAGCCAAAGCAAAGCTCTAACTCTTTAATTCTGTGAAGGTTGAGGTTGGTAAGGAAACTGCAGAAGAAAAGTGTGAAGCCATCAGAGGTTGGTTCATGAGGTTTAAGGTTTAAATTTAAAAGTGTGAGGTGCAAGTGCTGATGTAACAGCTGCAAGTTACCCAGAAAAATCTAGCTAAAATCATTGATGAAAGTGGCTACACAAAACAACATATTTTCAGTATATTATTAAATTAAGACATGTATATTATTTTATAAGTGTGCTACTGCACACTTAGTAGACTGTGGTGTAGTGTAAATATAGCTTTTGTCTGTGCTGGGAAACCAAAAAATTTGTGACTTGCTTTATTGGTACATTTGCTTTATTTAAGTTGTCTGGAACCAAAGGTACAACATCTCTGAGATGTGTTTGTAACATAACAAAATCTTATAGAAACTTTATTTCCTTTTCAGACACTTGTCAGTTTTTATATGTAGACATTATCTTTTTTAGTTTCCTAAAATCTTAAAAAAACCTCTTCTGATAGAGAGGGCGGTGTTGAGAGGAATAAAAAGAAATGAAAGAATTAAGAAGATAACAAAGAGTGTATGAACTGTTTTAAGGTGTTACCCTGTATAGATCTCTGCCAGAGGGAATTCTTGCCAGACTGATTCTGACAGACCTGCCGAGAGCTTTTTTAACTGCTGTCTTGCCTGATTTCACTTGTTCACTGAACTCACTGTTGTGGCTTGCTAATCGAATGTGGGAAGTAAGAACACTGCCTCAGTTCACATGCCTTGCCATTTAGTGTCTGTGCAAAGTCAACTAAATTGCAGCCTCTAGATCTAAGTCTGTTTCTTCCTCTGTAAATGAGATTAAGAACACTGTGTAACTACCTTATAAGTCTGTACCATTAAATGTAAACTGCTTAGCACAATGTAGTATATGTACAATAAATGTCAGCAATAATATTGACAAGTTACTTTGACTCCTAACAGTGTTCTCTTTCTTAAAGGGCTAGATAACATTCAAGTAAATTTATTTTTGAAATTTTATTTTTATTTATGAAATGTAAACCCTATCTTTATTATTTCTTTTTTTAGTTTTGAAACATTATTCATTTCTCTATCTTTAGATTTTCTTAATCCAGCACCTTTATATGTAACTTTTATATCTTTCTTGAAGTGATTACATGTACTTTATGCATTCAATGTTATGTTAATATTAGCACAATATAGACATGCATGTCAATTCTTTGCTAATTATCTTATTCCTATGAGGATGGATTACATGTGGAAATAACATGCAATCTCTGCCTTTCATAAAAGATCTTAGAGCTATCCAGATCTCATATTTATAGGAAATAACTTTTCCCTGCCTCATTCTTGCCCTCATTTCCTCCTGCACAATTAACCTACCTTTTAAGGAACCTCTATGGAGTAGTGATTTAGAGTGCATGAAAAGGAAATCAAGAAGATAAGACACGTAATAAAAGAGAACAGGTACATCCAGTAGAGGGAGATATTGGCAAAATAATCAAGCCACATAATATGCAGGTGCAGTGGACAAAAAAATGAAAAACAAAGCTTTCCCTGTGTAAAAAAAATGTAACTAACTAAGAATGAACTTAATGTAAGTTAAGTAACACTGTGGTTTCTGTTTTGCTAGTTGACAAACCCAAATTTATTAAGCAAATTACCTAGGGAAGCACTATGAGGACTATATATGTGGCAGTAAAAGACAAGATCATTGACACGATTTCCTCTCTGAATCTCTAAAATAGCATGGAAGTTGCAGGCCAGATCATTTGATAACAAAGAAAATATAGAAATTGTATTTCCGTAATTCAAAAAGATTTTTTTTCAGAGTTCTAGAGTATCTGAGTAAACTAGTGTAGTCCTAAGTCTAATCACATAATGAATGATAACACTATTCTTCTTTCAAAAAAAAGTATCATTGTTAAAAAACTAATATCTTTGTAATTTAGAACTACAGATTTCTTTAATTACTGGGAGGTCTTTAATCAAAACTACATTAACAGTGTTCAATTCAGGTTGGATTGGAATTTTTTTCAATAGGATGGTTACGTTGATTTGAACCTTTACTTTTCCAACAGAAACATCACATTTCCTTCTGTTGGCAAAATTGTCCAATAACTGACTACTATAATAGTCCCTTTGCACTTTGAGATTTAATACTCTTATTCTATCACACTCAAAGAAATTGCTGCCCTGAAACTTTGGGATGTTGAGACTGCCCTTAAATCTGAGAGTCTCGCTTAATAGTTGACTGGGTTTTACCTTCTGTATCATGCCTAAATATTTTGATGTGGACTTTATTACTTTTGGCTACATTAGTACATTCAGTTTGCAAAATGTCCAAAGAATTTTATAGAATTCATAAAATATATGTTAAATAAACTCACTGTAATAATTTTATAGTTTAGATTTCTATTTAGTTGATCCAAAGGTGGCAGTTACACATCTCTGTCAATTTTATTCTTTTAATTAATTTGGTAAACATTGCAATCACTAACTTAATAGATAATTCACTTTTAAAAGATACTATTTTAAATATGTAGATTTTATTTCGAATTCTTCAGCTGTTCATCAATTTTTTTGCCTTTAGTTTTTGCTAGAGAGCACCATTGTTTGTTGTGCCTAAGTTAATGTTTGTATATTCCTAAGTAAAAATGGAAGTTCAGCTATGCTAGAATAGCCTTTATAGCTGATAGTATAAATTTTCTGGTAAAATCAGAGATGTTCCCTAGATTGAATAGAGCTTTTTGTGAGGTGAATATTTTAAATAATTCATGCACTGGATGTGTGTTTTTTTAAATTATTAAAAAGTTTTCAGTGATTAGACTCAATTGGACTGCTCCATTGAAGAGTTTCCTTGAACCACTACAGGCAAATTGAAATACCTTTGTTTTAACCTTCATAAGTAAGTTATCTTGTTAAGAAGGCTGTAGAAAATGAGAGTAAATAAATAAAAAGCAAATCTACCAGGGTATCAGTGTGTCTATGTTTACCATTAGAATAGGCAAGATTACGCTGCAGTAAGCAACCTAAAAACTCACTGACTAATATTGAAGTTTACTTTTCATACCTGTCACATGCCCATTGGAATTTGACAGCATTGATTTTGTAGTCACTTGGCGATTCAGACTGAGGGAAGTTTCATCTAGACCCATACTCAACACACTTACAGTTCTGGGAAAAGAAAATGTCATGAATCCTCTGATACTCTTCAAACTTCTGCCTGAAAATGTCATAGTTCATTCACGTTTGCAATATGTAGCCACCCCTGACTTTAACAAAGTATGTGATCCTTACCCAGAGAAGAACACCAGATATTTGCAGAACAGTATATGACAGTTTTCCATTCTCTTCTTAATGAGTGAACACTTGAAAAATCTTGATAGTTTCTGTGCTAAATTTACAGGATGTCTGATTTAAAACTGACCATAGGGAGAAAATGAACTCTTTACACCTGAACATAACCTGATTCATTTTGAAACTCATATTGATGGTGCATTGAACATACATACACAGATCCACACACATTTCTACACAGTCCAAATAGTGCAGGAACTGTTTTACAGTAACATTTTACCAGTGGGGCTATTGCTGTTGCTCTACATACAATGTGGACAGACAGCAATGGTGTTGTACACACTGACCTTTAAATTCAGTGTAGGACAGCCAGGGAATTTCATAAACTTAATCACTAATTAGAACTTAGCAAGAGTTTAAGTTTCTTTTTTGCTCTTGGAATAACAAGAAATGGCCAAATTTTAATTTGGAGTTTAAATATCTCATCATAAGCTATATTGAAAAAAAAAAAAACAATTGGCTGGGAGTTTTAATAAAAAATATACTTGAACTATTAGATATAGTGCCAAAATTCATAACAAAATGAAAATATAATTTGATGTGAAAATTCAGTGTTTTTTTTTTACACACTCATTTAAGTACTCATTTAATTATTGCTAACATTTCTCTTTTTATCCTGATTTTTTAAGGTGTTACTGATTTAACGAAAATATTTTGTGAAACTTCCCAGAAGTTGATGAGTATAGAAGGCTTTGCTCTGATGGCAAAATATTATTCTGTACAAAACTTGGGAATATGTACTCCTTTTGAACAGTTGCTAGTAGCCCTTCAAGCCAATCAAAAACAGAGAACTGGTAAGTGTGTCTGTTTGTATGTTTTTTTTTTAGGAGTAATATATTGTTCATATTTGTTTATCTTTGAAAGATGTTCTTAATTTATTTCTAAACTTTATATCATGAACTCCAATGGATTGGTTTGTGCCTAGATGAGTAAATTTTGTAATGTACTATATTAAACAGATCAATTTAATTACCCACCTTCACATTTTCTCCTATATTCTAATCCAGTTATCAATCTTTTCCTTTATAGTAAATTGTTTAATTTGTCAAGAAACATTTTTCATAGTCTTCTATAGGCTTAGTTATTATATTAATTCAAATTCAATTCATAGTAGCTAAATCAATAGAGGTCTAGCATATAGATACCACAATAGAATATCTGTATTATTTCCATTTTTAACACAGAAAACATGAACATCAACTTATGACTCATTAAATTTTGTTCTTTAATAGCAGTACTGTAATTTTGGTTTATTTTTGCTCAGGTAAAAATATGAAGCCTGATGAGTTTATGAATATGAAAAAATCTCATGAAGTTCAGGCAATGTCAGAGCTGGTCAGCAATATTGCTAATTACTGTGGCATAAAGCAGGTAAGAGTAGTTTCCTATATTTTCATATGTTAAAAGTACTGACCATTTTAAAATGTCATTCAGATTTTCTTTTCCATTACTATATAGCCTCTAAAATATGTGTAAATAATAGCTGAGGTGAGATATGTCAGATCCTTTAAACGTATGCTATCATTTTCAAATATACTGTTATTATAACAAATTTATGCTAAACATAGACTGTTTTTGTTTTGTCATAAATCTTACTCTTTTTGGAATGGATAGAGGTTAGAGGTAATTCTCTTTAATATGTTATAACTCCAGCTTGAGGCACCATTATGAAAAAAACATTAAGCAAAACTTTTTGCCACTAGGTATTCTCACAACTTGGGTCACCAACTTTGATCTGGACTACTTGCCTCATTATAGTTTCACAAAAAAGCCTATGTTTTAGAACTTGAAGGCTTTCATAGCATCAGAATGAGTGTATTTCTATTATAAAAAGTAGCTTCAGTTAAAAAATAGTGATGTCTGATAACAGATGTTAAATAAAATCAAAGACTGCTGACATTGGCCTGTAAAAATAGTAAATTTTTGTCTTATCTGTGGCTTATATGAATAATAAGTTTATTTCCCTTATCCCTACAAGTACATCTATGAGATTAGTGGAGGATTTTCCCTCCTTCACTTTTTATTACATTACAATCTTTTCCATAGATTGTTCTATACTTGTAGACAGTTTGAAGATGATCAAAAACTATCACAGCTTAAGCTAGGTACCCAGAAGTCTATGAAGGAGAAGATTATGGGAAGGGTAGGATTTACAGAGACTATCAAGAGCTCAGTTTTGAACATATTAAATTTGAAGTGCTACCACGATGAAGGGGAATGTTCTGTGGACTGTTGGATATATGAGTATAAAGTTCACAGGAGAATTCCAAGTTGGACTTGCAAATTTCAGAATCATCAGCATAGAATGATAGTTAGATCTTCAGGTCAACAACAACAACAAAAAAAACATAACTGTCTTCTCTCTGAAATATAGGCCACTCTAATATTAAGAAATGTAACTGTTCTTGATAACAGTGTTTCTCTGGGAAAGTCAACTAAAAAGAATTAGGAGACAAGGAGCATCTCTCCTTCTGGGCATAGAAGAATCCTCTGTCTTTAAACCTGTACAATAATCCAACAATGAAAAGACAATTGTAAGGGGTGGGAGAGCAGGGTGGTAGAGATTTTGCTATTCATACCAGATTGAACACAAAAAATTGTAGGCTTATTTATTCCTACCACTGTAACACTTAATTGTGCAGAGTTCTTCCATCTGTTGCTAGTACTACATATGTTACTGAAAGACCAATTTGGAGGGAAATATAAGTCAGTGTGTATCTGTAAGATAAGTCAGATTTTTTAGGACATTTTGCCATTATTGAAAAGGTTTTTAAATAGTACATTGTGGAGACATGATTTTTACTAAATTCACCTACTAGTTCTGTTAGCATTTTTGTATATTCCTAACAGTTTTCTGTGCACACAAGCATGTCTTCCCTCCCAATATTTATCTTTTATATCTTTTCCATCCTTAAATTTTTGAATAAAAATAACAACTCATTTTGAAAAAGATTCAAAACACTAAAATGAAAAATAAAAACTATACAACCATTTGTTTAGCTGCTTTTTAAAACTGTTAATGCTTTCTGTTACCTTCTGAGTAAAACGCTCTAATTCATTGTGTTTTTTTTTTTAATGTAGGTAATTGATGTGGGTTCTGGAAAAGGCTATCTAAGCTCCTTTTTGTCCTTGAAATATGGCTTAAAAGTTTATGGAATCGATTCCTCTAATACTAATACTCATGGAGCTGAGGAGAGAAACAGGAAACTAAAGAAACATTGCAAAGTCTATCATACTCCATCAAAATTAGATGTCAGTGGACTGGCATTAAAAATGGCAAAAGAACAGACTGTGCAAGATGACATTAAATATGAAGCAGATATGGACGGAGTGTATAACAATAATCCTACCAATCAAGGAAAGATATCTACCTCAGACTTTTTGTCAGATTTTTCAGACCCCGTAATTTCTAACATCAGAAAACAAATGGAAAGTCTACATGTTCATTCACATCAAGAAGAAAATTTGCATTTTGAAAATGCCTTGTCTCTTATAAACTTTTTGCCTATTAATGCTGTAGAAATTACTTCTTCATCTGAAATACCCAATAGGAAAATGCCTGAGGCAAACAAAGAGAGAAGAAAAACAACATTAAAGACAAGTGAATCAAATATATACTCACCTTTAACATCTTTTATCACCGCTGATTCAGAACTGCATGATATTATTGAAGATCTGGAGGTGATTGTGCTTTTAATTTGATTTATAAAAATGTTCTAAAAAAGATTTAACTTTAACTAGTAGCTTACTACTTAGCTTATATGTTTTATTTTATTACATTAATCTAAAGGACCAAGAAAATAAAATTATGTGCAGACTTTCATGATTACCACAGCTATCAAAATCTGACAATCTGTCAATCACAGTTTTCCAGAATAGAGTTCCCGCCCTTCATTTTAAGCCTCTTTAATCAAATATAAGTACCAACTCAAAAGCTAGTAAGGTAAGTTCTCATTATGCAATTTAGGATTGTTTAAAATTACAGCCCAACAAAACTTACATTTTAAGTTTGAAGTACAAAGGTATTTAGGGCAATATTATGTTTAATGTTAGTCTTGGTAATAATTAAATGTGCAGTTTTCTTGAGCAAGAGTAGATTCTTAATATTCATAAAGAATTTGAACTCTTTCTAATATGTCAAATTATGTAATTAAAATACAGTATATCTTAAACAAAGGCAAGATTGTATGTTAAAACAATATTGTAAAAGAACTTCTGGAAATCATTTGACCTAACTCACTACTTAAAAAGCAAGGTAACCTTTGGAGTTATAATACTTTCCATTTGTAAATTTTTCAGAAATTCTTCCCTAAA